GCGTTTACGAGAATGATCGTCGAGACGGGTACTATTGACATAATTCTGTGTGTATGTGTCTGTTCAAACATGAGGAGATGCGAAAGACGAATCAACTCTGTGTTCGCGAGCCGTCTGAAACACGTCTCTGTGTGTGTGTGCGCGCTTTGCAGGTGTGCGGCAGAACTGAAGAGACGCTGCGCGAGAAGCGGCTTGTGCGCATGCTTCACGTGTGAGTCAGACAGCAAGAGGAGACGGCAAAGAGTTGTTTTCTGCAACTTATTGCACTTAATAACTCTTTTTAACGTCAAGCAATTCTCTGCTATATGCGTCGAACTAAAACTTTGACCTTTTGCAACGTTTTGATTTAAGTAGCCTATTATTAAAATGATTCAGATATCGCACGCCGTTGCGATATGCATATCACGATATTTACATTTGCGATATTTCGATATATCGTGCAGCCCTACTTTAAATACTTTAAATGCTGACAATCTTTCAAATGAGTGAACGGTCCAGTCTCTGCTTTCAAATAGGATCAGGGATCATTTGACATTGTTATTTTCTCTCTAAAGGAAATGAATGTTTGTTGTGTCTGTCTTAGAGAGAACGGGCTCCATCAAAGCAGCATTTATTGACACGGCTGCTCATTATGGATGGATGCTTCACAAATGAACTTCAAGCGTTTGTTCCAGTAAACAGTGTTCATCCCACACAAAAGACCGTTTGATTCGCCTTCTATTTACATTTGAGCAGCAGTCATGTAGAGGAACAGGACGTTCTGGTGTGCTGTTTTTATGGGTAGAAAGTTAGTGTAAGTCTCGGTGATGAGTAAACACTGCAGACACCAGAAGCGCTTTCTTCAGGAGTCCAGCATCATGTGGAGCACAATAACACCTTACTGAGAGATGCAAGAATGTGCATTGCTGAAAATCTCAGTTATCTTTCAAACAATACAATATAATAACATAATAGTGGTAGGTCTTTGATGTAGTCTCATTTCTCCTCCGAACTGATTTGACTGTTACTACAGGTTTATTTACATGATTGATTTCAATGACAGGTTCTGTGTGTCTTTATTGCTCTGTAAATGTGTCCTGGTTCTCTCTCTTTAGGTTGTACATTTCACCAAAGAAGCAGGTTGCGGCTGAACTGGGGCCTGAATCACCACTCAAATGGTGTCGAAAAGTTCTCGATCATCCCAGTCCAGAGACTGAGGTCGCCTGTCGCACGCTCATCAACCGACTAGACCAAAGTAGGGAAACTTTACAAGATTTGTGAATACATTCATGTGCAATAGAAAGAGTATTTTATGTAACTGATGTTTATTGTATGCACATGAATACAGAATGACTGAATGATTTAGATTTAAGTCAGAGCGCTTTAACACCTCACTGAACTACAGAAGCATTACCGATGTGCACTTTCCCGGGGAAATATTGTCCTGTGACATGTTTCTGCTTTGCGCACTGCTGAGTTACTGTATTTTCTGCTTCTGTAGCATCTGTCACAACATGAATCTGCCCTTTAAGTCGTGATGAAATAGGAATAGATCTTTTCTTCTGTATGGTGGCATACATCAGAGAGAAACGGATGATCGAGAAAGAAAATGTATAGAATGAAGACTTGATTCTGTGCATTGGATGTTGAGATGCGAGCGTGGCTCTGGAGACAGATGAACATGAGCTTTAGTCAGACTAAATAATTAGAAAAGTCCTGCATACGTCGCCAGATGTTTCAGTTATTAAACATTACCAGGTCAAAAAAAAAAAAAGAAGAGTGTGCATGGAAGAATTGTTCACGATGAGATATATAACATGCATTAATAATGACACCATGGGAAATCCAGTGAAGATCATTAAAATAATAACAGTTACTGGCATTTGCTGGTTCTTTACTGTCTAAACTGTTTATTGTCTTTATAGCTGAACCTATGAGTAATTAGTTTCTTTCAAGCTCGTTCAGTGTTCGGCCGAATAAGAAAAAAGACCAATAAATTGTACCGAACAATGACGTGACGCGATCAAATAGAGGCGCGCGCTAATGCAGCACACACGTCAGCAGTGTGAAAGCATTTAAAATTGTCCGAGAAAGACGCAAAAATCATTACAAGCACCGACAGCGAGAGACCGTTTAGTGCTGCAGTGCATGTCTCTGATGAGAAGAGGACGGGCTGATTGTTGCTGGTTACTGTATGATGATTGAAATCACCAAATGGCCTTAAACAATTAAATACACTGCAGAACGTTATGTTTTCTAATACACGCATGAATTGCATGTGTTCAAACAGCTTCACAAACTCATTAGCCAGGGTTCAAAGTCCAACACGCGAGGAAAATCTGTGCTGAAACTGTGTTACTCGTCAGCTGCTCAGGCACATTTTTATGAATTTTTACTAGGCATGTGACTGTGTGATACGTGCATCTCCCCAAATTAGTAATGAGAATAATTTATAAATCTGCTGCTGTCAACAAAGAGAAGCACTGAGGACTTCCTGCGGGTTTCTGCCAAAATAAAAGCTCCATCAACATTCATAAATGTTAGTATTGTAATTTTACTGTTGTTCTGTTAAATAAAATTAAAAAGTAAGACAATAATAATAATAATTACAACAGCTCTATTAATACATTTATTATAACATTCACACATAGTGTTCAAACTGGGATCTGTAATATTTTCTAATGTTTTAAAATAATTATCTTCTGCTCAGCAAGGCTGCTTTTATTTGCATGCCTGATTCAAGAAGGGGGTCTCAAAAATGGCCACAAAATATTATTTTACCAACTTATTAATTTTAAGTTAAATTGTGCTTTGTTGGTATAATGCCTGCTAGAATGTTAAAAAATGTTCCGTGTTAAATAATTATTTTTAAATTGTTGTTTTGTATTAGTGTACAATGTTTAAAAATAATAATTTATTCCATGTAGTGTCCATTTCATTCATTTAACATTTAATATCGGAGGCATCCAAGTTATTTGACACATTTGAACTTTTTATTTTTTATTTTTTAAAGTAACGCAATAGTTACTTTCCCTGGTAATTGGTTACTTGTATAATGATGTAATTCAGTTACTAACTCGGTTACTATTTGTGAGAAGTAACTAGTAACTCTAACTGATTACTTTTTTTAAGGTAACTTGCCCTGCACTGGTCACTACTATTGCACTGTAATGCTGCTTCTGCCACGTTATGACAATAGATTTACACTTGGAATTCAGTAGTCTGTCATCAATGACAGTAGCTCACTGGAAAAAGTGCCCTTCATTGTGTTTGCAGTAATAAGTGCTGCTGCCTGCCAGCTGCAATCACCAATAAAACGTTGTTCCTTATTTTTTCTACATCGTCATAAATATCATTATCGCAAATATTCTTGAAATATCATGATATAATTTTGAGGCTATATCGCCCACCCCTACTATAAATTATTATATTTTATTTTTCCTGAAATGTAAGGTTCTCTTTTTATAAAATAGCTACTACTGTTATGTTTCTTATAAGAATAATTTCTTGCTGAAAGTATCAGAATGCGTATTTGTTTAGTCGACATTGCGTTTCTTTCTCTGTTGTGATGTTTGCTCTGTCAAGTCTTGGATGTCTAATGCTGACTGTTAATAATGTTCACTGTTAACGGTTTCGTCAAATGGAAATGTGTGCATCCTTACATGTGAAATGCCAAATGGAGGATTAGTTCAGGGATAGTTCACCCAAAAATGGCAATTCACTCGTCGTTTGCTCACCCTCTTGTTGATATCACATTCTTTCTTCTGTGGGACTTTTTTTAGTGTATTTGTTAGGGATGCACCGAATATTCGGCAACCGAAATTATTCGGCCGAAAATAGCAAAAAAAGCTCTTTCGGTGTTCAGCCCGTAATGAGACTCATTTATAAATCTGCTGTTGTCAACAAAAATAAGCACTGAGGTCTTCCTGCGCGTTTCCGCCAAAATAAAAGTTGAGAAAAAGCAAATACTCTGTCAACATTCATAAATGTTAGTATTGTAATTTCACTGTTGTTCTGTAAAATAAAATAAAAAATAAGACAATAATAATGATAATAATCATTACAACAGCTCTGTTTTAATGCATTTATTATAACATTCACACATAGTGTTCAAATTAGGATCTGTAATATTTTCTAATGTTTTAAAAGTCTCTTCTCAGCAAGGCTACTTTTAATTGTACAGTAAAAAAAAATAAAAAATACATGCCTGATTCAAGAAGGGGGTCTGATGGCCAAAAATGATTATTTTACTAACTTATTCATTTTAAGTTAAATTGTGCTTTGTTGGTATAGTGTCTGCTAGAATGTCAAAAATGTTCAGTGTTAAATATTTTTAAATTGTTGTTTTGTAATTTATTTTTTTTCTTTGAAAAGTAAGACAAAACCGTAAAAAGCACATTTTGGCTTTTTAATTTATGCAATGGTGAAAAAAAAAATTGGCAAAATACATGGGGAAAAAAACTAGAAAAAACGTGTTCGGTATTCGGCCTTCAGCCCAGTGTTTAATTTTGTTCTGTTTTCGGCTTCATCCAAGAATTTTCATTCCGGTGCATCCCTAGTATTTGTTATACTTGTAATTTTTTGAATTGTTATTGCCATGAAAATAACCTAAGATGCTGACATGGCATTAAATAAAAACCTACTCTTCTGTGGGACATAGAATAAGCTATTTTGAATAAATGTCTAAACTGGAGACAAAAACAAAATACTTTTACCAATTACCATTTTTCAAAATATCTTTTGTGTTTCACAGGAGTTTTGAACAATATGAGGGTGCATAAATAATGTATTTTTTTAATACAGTTGATAGACTTGCTATGCTATATTGCTAATGCTATATTGTTTGATTGTTGTTTTGTAGCGTCTAGATGGAAGAACGTGTACAGTAGCCCATCTCAGTCCAGTGAGGCTGGCGTCTCGGCGTCCTCGTCTGCTGGGTACCTCAAATCAACTAACAAAACACTACTAACCTCTGGCAGCTCAGGTATGGCATTAACCCCATTCACTGTGCATCACACACACACACACACACACCCTCGCAGGCGTTCACTGGTGTGTACAGAGCGGCTGTGGCTGTATGTGTTCAGGACACAAAGCAGATGACAGAATCAGATTTCATGCATGAGGTGTCTGGCAAGCATTTCTGGCTGGCACACTCCTCTTGCGTTGTCTTCATCTGTGTGTTTTTATGTGTTTAAAAACCTGTTTGGTGTGCAGTGTGTGCTGAAGTCACGAGTGCATGAGTTTCTGCTGTTTAATGAACCTCGTTAGTAACTAGAGATAATTGAATTGCTTTACTGCATCAGTGTGACTCACTTGCAGTATTAGGGCAGCGTGATATGGATCAAAAATCATATCTGTATTTTTTAGACAGAACGGCGGAAGAGATTGAACATACATCCGCTTTTGGATGCAGCCTGTTTATAATAATCTCTACAGATGAAATGGTTTTTCTGCTCGTCTGATGTTTTAAATCAGAATAATCTTCAAAGAATTGAACTAGGGCTGCAACTAATGATTATTTTGATAACTGGTTAATCAATCTATTTGATTAATCAGTTAATTTAACTAAAAAGCCATATTTGTTCTGCATTTATTAAAAAAATATTTACACTTACTTTACATCCTGCCCAGTGTTTGCCCTTTTAACAATATACAAATATAGTTATTGTATCTACAGTATGTGGACTATGCTATAGGCTACATTATGTGGAAAAAGATAGATTTTTTCAGATGAATTTTGTCTGTAGAAATGTGTTATTCACCACTTTAAAGTTATGTGACTGGCATTTCTGTGCACTGTGTGCAGACGCAATTAATCAATAATCACATTTGTTGTTTTTTAGGTAACACTTTATTTTAAGGTGTCCTTGTTACGCATGTTACATGTGCTTACTATTATAATTAGGGATGCACCGATACCATTTTTTCAGAACCGATCCAATCTGAAATTCAGAGTATCGGCCGATACCGATACCAGCACTGTTGTTTTTAATCAATGTAGAATTTCTATACGTCTGTGTGTTGATCCATCACTGTTTTGTGTGTTAAACACAATCTACTAAATATAGACAACTTAACTTCTTTTTAAAGAAAAATAACAATTGGAAAAAATATATAATCTTAATGTATAACAAGTTCTATTATAAACTAGATTAGTGGATAAAGTTTAGCAGCAGCAAAAGTTATTCTAGAAAAATCATGTGTGCACAATAATTTTATAAAATCTACATTTAGTGAAATAACATTTATTTAGTGGGGAACAAATAAAAGTTAAGAAGCTTAGGACTAAATCTGGTAATCTGCTCTTTGACTCTAATGGGGTAATCAAAATAGTCTTTTTACTCAGTTAGTCTGCTTTTTTTATTATTTAAATTTTTAGTTTAGTAAATTTAACTTGCTTAAAAATGCTTTAATGCTTTAAAAGCATTATTTGTGTTTTTATATTGCAATGTTACAATGTTAGAATGTAATGTGATTTTAACATTCTTTTGCATAAAATATGTGCCTACATGGGTACATTCACTTTATTTGTTTGTTTATTTGTTTAATCCAAATACAAAATACTGAGATATATATACCGTATACCGCAAATCAGCCAAAAAATACTGAGATATGAATTTTTGCTCATATCGCCCAGCCCTAATTACATGCAAGTAACCCTAAACCAAACCCTAATCCGAACCCTAACCATATAGTAAGTACATGTAGTTAATTAATATTACTCAGGACTTATGCATAATTACACTGTAACAAGGACACCTTAAAATAAAGTGTAACCTCTTTTTATTGTCCACTATTATCACCAGTACTGATTAGTCGTTGCAGCCCTGTTATTGAGTGTATGTTCTGTTGTTCACAGGTTGCATGGGCGTTCCCTCTGCTCTCAGCTCACAGTCGTCCATTGACAGTGAGTTAAGCACCTCAGATGACTCCATCTCCATGGGCTACAAGCTTCAGGACCTGACCGATGTTCAGATAATGGCTCGTCTGCAGGAGGAGAGTGAGTATTGTTCACCTGACACGAATCCAGACCGCGAGAGCTTTTAGCGCGGCATGCGAAATGCTAATAAATGTGGGATGTGGAAATGCTTTCTGTTCTTGAATGTCCTTTGTTTGTTTTAAACTCTGCTTCAACAGCATTCAGGCAAACTGTAGACTGCTGTTATTTGTGTATTGAGAATACTTTTGGGGATTAACTTGAGTCTGTTGTGTAACTATTACACAGCAGTTGAGGGTGAAAGCTCAGAAGTTTCATTATTCGACAAGCATTGAGTTTGTAAGGCCCATACGGTTTGACCCTCTTTACTTTTTTAAAACCAGTTTCTCAGCATGTACAAAATACTGCCTGACATTTTTCCTGTTGAATAACTGTTTTTGCTCCGAAAGAACACCTCGCATTTAAAAAGTGCCGTTTAATATTAAGGATGAAATGTAGACAGAAGTGAATAGTGATTAGCCTCAAGGAGGCTCTCATTATAAATAATAGAATTTGGGACACACTAATTCTAATTTTGAATACTATTTAGGATGGATAGTATGTGAATTGGAACACAGCATATGTCTTCTCTCACTAATTGGACTTAAAATTTGTAGATTTTTCACAGACTTTCATAGATTTTTTTTTTTCTGTAACACCTTTTTTTTAGAGCCTTCGAGCTGTGTCCATCAAACTATGCTAACTAGGGATCTCAATATCAGTGTCGCTACAGCATCAGTAGTACTGAGTACAGACTCTGTGTCGTACCTCTGATAGATAGGCAGCTGCTTTCTGTGTATGCAGGTGTTCTGTGAGGAGCACTTGTGCTAGGGCTGTCAAAATGGCTGAAAAAACTAAATTCGAATTTTGTACTTAAATATCAATTTTTGAATTTATGTTTGAATTTAAAAGGCATCATTTCAGTTATGGGGAAAAAACTTGTGGCCTCTCCTTAGGCCACAAGAGGGCGCATCGAGCAAAATATTACTAATGCACGACTATCTTTGAGAAAAGTGCATAATGTTTAAAAAAATAGAACCAAAATTTATAAACCATGTTTTCTGTATGTATGCGTAGTTTAATACAAAGGACTGAAAACCAATCACAAAGAGTACTTTTTTCATTTAAAAGAATGAGATGCAGTGGGATGGGGAAAAACCGCCATAAAGTTTTGAGACATGTTTTTTAAAAGTTGAACTTACATTAATTTTACATGGTTTTCTAAGCATGCGGCTCTCTTGTGCGAGACGCGAGTGCAACGGTGATAGATGTCCCTCTAGAAAATGAGATAAATATGCGTTCTGTGTGAACGGCTTGGTTTCAGTTTTGACGTAAACAACATCTCCGCATTGATGTTCTCTTTTTCCACAATATTTTGAGTGAACAACACAGCAGCGCCGCATCTAGTGCTTTCAACTGGATAGGCTATGAAAAACATTCAAATGCAACGACACTTACATCGTCATCGCATCTCGGGCGCCACTGATAAGGCTGCCTGACGCACACCTAAAATTCGAATTCAACGTTTTTGCATTGGAACGTGGATTTTTATTTTAAATTCGATGAATATTCAAAATTCGAATTTTTATTTGACAGCCCTAACTTGTACCAAAGTGGAGATACACCTAAATACTCAAATAATCTAAATACATCAGTATCATACCAACTTCAAGGCTTTAATTTTTGACATTCAAGTTTGCTTTGACTTGTAATAATGATACTGATGTTGCACCATCTGCAGTTTCACATTAAAGCTCCAGTCTGTAAGTCTGGCCTCTTTGTCGCAATCTCTGTTTGAAAACCTGCAATTGCAGTTATTTGCAGAATGATCATCTTTACGTGGGTTCTGCACCGGCACGGCTCCAGCGCGGATGAATCTAATGTTTTGTAACCATTAAAAAAACATTTTGTAACCATGTTTGTGTGGATACTGTACTTGGGAATCACAGATTCTAGCCTATGTCTTGGAATATATGACCCAAATAAGAATCTGAACAAGTAAAAAGTCTGCCACTTTTGTTCTGACCAACTGAGGAAAAAAACATTACAATAAATCGCGCTACCAATGGTGATTAAATCTAACGATCAGTTAATTAGCTCATGTCATATCAAACCATGCAAATTATTATTATTGTTATACTTTGTTCTCAAATGGTTAATGTTAACAACATCAGCATTGCGTGACATAGTGTGTATTAGTGTATATAGTGTGTATTAGTGTGTAGATTTCAATTTCTGTTCAGTCCATTTGAATTTCGTATTAAGAAATGATTTTAACCCAAAAGGCAAATTATTCTTCCTTCAAACTGGTTGTCTTTAAAATACAGATCTTGTGTAATCCCAGGCTATCTGTAATCAGATGCATATTTAAAACTGGAATATAATTTAATTTAATTCACATGTGTTTCATAAACACATAATCCTTTCTGCATTACAGTCCGCCATCAAAATGATACATTTAATTATTCCAGCTGCTGTGAGAAAAGGCTATAAACGATCCATACCTGCAGGATCCTCACATGCGATGGCCTAGTAGCCGGGACAACTTCTTTGTTTACAGACGTGGCATAATGACGCAGTGCCATGCTTGAATTTCCCGCAAATTCCTACCCGTACCACTCAAATTACAAAACAGTATTATAAGCTAACCGTTGTGAATACTGGCTGGTTATGTACTTGCTCAAATATTGATTTCAGATCATTTTGAACCAATGTATAAGTTTTAAGTTCCGGACTGCAGCTTTAAGCTTTATTTTCCTTTATTGACCTTTGGTGGTGTTTTTCAGGTCTCCGGCAGGACTACGCCTCTACCTCGGCCTCGCGCCGCAGCTCCTCGGCCTCCCTGCAGTCTCTGCGTCGAGGCACCTACAGCGACCAGGAGCTGGACTCCTACAGTCAGGAGGACGAGGAGGATGAGTGCTGCTCTCTGCCACAGCGGCTCCAGCGCTACTCGCCCTCCCCCCACGGCTCGCCCCGCCGCCCACGCATGTCCCGCCGCTCGCTGCGGGGCCCGGGGCCCAAACGCGAGGGTAGGGCACTGTCCATCACACATGAAATCGAAGGCAAATTTGTTAGGGCAAATTGCTTGTTCAACAGAATTGATTGTGATGCTGATTGATGAACTAAATAATGGATGCACTGATCATCCAATGACATTAATGTGGTGTTGTAGAACAAAGAATTATCATGTAAAGGGGTCATGCAATGTGTTTTCAGATCTTTACATTGTTTCTGAAGTTAGCTAATGACATATTTTGCTCTAAAACGTTCAAATACGTGACCCTGGACCACAAAACCAGTCTTAAGTCGCATGTATTTGTAGCAATAGCCAACAATACATTGTATGGGTCAAAATTATTGATTTTTCTTTTATGCCAGAAATCATTAGGATATTAAATAAAGATCATGTTCCATGAGCTGCTGTGAGAAAAGGCTATAAACGATCGGCCACCTGCAGGATCCTCACATGCGATGGCCTAGTAGCCGGGACAACTTCTTTGTTTACAGACGTGGCATAATGACGCAGTGCCATGCTTGAATTTCCCGCAAATTCCTACCCGTACCACTCAAATTACAAAACAGTATTATAAGCTAACCGTTGTGAATACTGGCTGGTTATGTACTTGCTCAAATATTGATTTCAGATCATTTTGAACCAATGTATAAGTTTTAAGTTCCGGACTGCAGCTTTAAGCTTTATTTTCCTTTATTGACCTTTGGTGGTGTTTTTCAGGTCTCCGGCAGGACTACGCCTCTACCTCGGCCTCGCGCCGCAGCTCCTCGGCCTCCCTGCAGTCTCTGCGTCGAGGCACCTACAGCGACCAGGAGCTGGACTCCTACAGTCAGGAGGACGAGGAGGATGAGTGCTGCTCTCTGCCACAGCGGCTCCAGCGCTACTCGCCCTCCCCCCACGGCTCGCCCCGCCGCCCACGCATGTCCCGCCGCTCGCTGCGGGGCCCGGGGCCCAAACGCGAGGGTAGGGCACTGTCCATCACACATGAAATCGAAGGCAAATTTGTTAGGGCAAATTGCTTGTTCAACAGAATTGATTGTGATGCTGATTGATGAACTAAATAATGGATGCACTGATCATCCAATGACATTAATGTGGTGTTGTAGAACAAAGAATTATCATGTAAAGGGGTCATGCAATGTGTTTTCAGATCTTTACATTGTTTCTGAAGTTAGCTAATGACATATTTTGCTCTAAAACGTTCAAATACGTGACCCTGGACCACAAAACCAGTCTTAAGTCGCATGTATTTGTAGCAATAGCCAACAATACATTGTATGGGTCAAAATTATTGATTTTTCTTTTATGCCAGAAATCATTAGGAGATTAAATAAAGATCATGTTCCATGAAGATATTTTGTAAATTTCCTATGCATTGCTAAGGACTTCATTTGGACAACTTTAAAGGCGATTTTCCCAATATTTAGATATTTTTGCACCCTCAGATTCCAGATTTTCAAATAGTTGTATCTCGACCAAATATTGTCCTATCCTAACAAACCATACATCAATGGAAAGCTATTTATTCAGCTTCCAGATGATGTATACATCTCAGTTTAAAAAAAAAAAAGATGCTTATGACTGGTTTTGTGGTCCAGGGTCACATATTAGAAAAAAAAAAGATAATTTTCCATCCTCATTTTTAATCTCTGTCAAAAACACAAATTTCAAGGGACATTAACTCCTTCAGAAACACAAGTAAATGCCTGAAGAAAATTACTGATGTTAAAACTCTAATTAAAATATTTAGCAACCGTTCACTTAAAGCCTTTATATAATATGCATTATAAAGGTTTTGTATTACTAATGCATTATATGATCTCATGAATAATTGTACCCACAGTTATTATACATTATAATATTTACTTATTCATTGTTACACCTTTAGAAAGTATAATGCATTAAAACACATGACAAACAAACCTTTAAATATTAAACTTTTAAAAAATATATATTAACTTTGGTTACGATTGTTACAATATAAAACTCATGTATAAATATCAAGGACATTTTGATTCTCCATTTCATGACTCCTTTATCATAGGAAATCAGATGACAGTATCAGAAGTAAATTAGAGTTTAATTTACTTTAAAAACATGCTGTAACTTACAGAACTCAAAACTTCCTCCCCTGTCCAAAAAGACTCGGCTAACTTGAGCTAAGACTTAAACCTCAGCTAAAAAAAGGCTCATTAGAACTGCCTGAACTTACACCGCAGTCTTGCCTGTTGGGTGATCAGAAACTTTGCGGTGAGGTGGATAGATATTATTATTCCTAAACACTAGGGGTGTAACGGTACACTAACATGACGGTTTTGACGTCACGGTTCGGTATGGAAGGGAAAAAAACAAAACATAAAATTGCTTCTTTTTTTTTTTTTTTTTTTTAATTAAACAATGGTTTACTGTACAAATTGCTCCTTTAAATAAATTAGATTTTAATTAATTTTCTTAGGGATAAAAATCTACCTCAGCTCTGAACTATAGTGAACCCTTTTACATTATGATAAGGTTACACTTAACAATAGAGCCCAAACTTAAATGTAATTATTATTTATTTTTCAATATAATAATCAACACTCAACTCAAATTGTATGCAAACATGTAAATTGCACTTAATGCAGTTTTTAGATTAACTTCTCAGAAGTTATTACATTTCATTCACAGTGGCTGTCATAACTTGTTTAATAACAGATGTATTTAAACATACATTAAATAAGACATCAATTCAATTTAAGTTTATTTGTATAGCGCTTTTTACGATACAAATCGTTGCAAAGCAACTTTACAGAAAATTAAGTTTCTACAATATTTAGTAGTAGCTTACCAGTGGTGACCGTCAGTTTATGTACATCACTAACAGGTAAAGTAAAATATGAGTTTATAGTGTAATATTTTGTGAAATGCTCCTCTCTAGACTAGGGCTGTGCGATATGGACAAAAAAAACCTATCGCGATTTCTTTGATCAATTTTGCGATTTCGATTTTAATCACGATTTTGACACACACAGACATGCTTTACAGTCATTAATGCATTCAGTGTGAATTTGAAACATATTTACAAAAGAAAACCAATTAGAGCTTTATCAAAAAGCTGTAACATGTCTCTAGAACAGACATAAGGCAAAATAATCACTAAGTAAAGGTGTAACAAAATGTCTCTAGAATAGACATATGGCAGAAAAAAAATCCCATGTCCAGGGATTTTTTTTTGCCATGCATTGGTCATAGAGCTTTTGTGGCATTGCCTCAGATGTTGAACTAGATGTGTTGCGGCAAGTTCACATGTACTCCGTCTGCAGTGCGTATACAGTATGTGTATGCGGTGCAGAAGCAGCACAGACTCATTGTG